CGGGGCCTGCGGCCTGTTGCTGCCTTTGTGTGGGGGGCTGCTTTTAAAGGTCTCCTGAGGCTCTTGGCGTCGCGGGGAGGAGGGGGCCTGGGGAAGGTGGTTTGCGGGTCGCGTTGGCCGCGTGTGCCGGGCACGGTCTGAAAGTCACCGCTGGCCTCCCGTGGCCCCTGGTGAGATAACTGTGCCCACAGCATAGGGAGCATTAAGCTTATTGCCCACGGTACTGGTGTGTGGGGAGTGAAACCCATGTTCCCATAACTGCTCTTCCTGAGAGCACTACGGGGCTGAGTGGGCCTCGGGGATTAGCACTCGCTGGGGTAACGGCTGTTATTAAGGGCTTTTTTCCTTCTTCTTGCAGGAATTTTGGCGGCCTGAAACGTGGTCCTGGAGCAGTGAGTGTCCCCACAGGACGGTGTGAAAGGAGCCTGTGTGCTGGACATAGGGCTGGCTGCACAGGCTGTAGATTGTGCTTAGGCCTCCTCTCCCGAGGAAGAGCTGCCCAGCCCGCATTGTGTGGCACCCTGTAGTTATCTTACCTCCTCCTAGTGACTGTTGGGGTTTTCCTTTTTTGATGCTGTTGTGGAAATGAGCCTACAAAACAAAGGGAAGGCTATAATGGTGGGTACTGTAAAGCACAAAGTTGTAAAAGTCTGTAAAATGGGTTAGGGCTGCGTGTGTTCCTGTGATGGCCAAGCACGCAGTAAGGTGTGTTCCATTAACTGTTGAAAGGCTGTTGTTCCTGCCAAGAGAAAGTGTTATCTAGCCACTGGGGACTGCTAAATGAGATTCATCTAAAGTGCCCTTGTTAATTAAAAGGTGAGGGGGCATGATTAATGTGCCAGGCAAACTCTGAGTTGTTGGGAGAGGATTTGATTGTTGCCTCGTAGCAAGAGAGTTTTGTAGGAAAATGAAAGAAGCCTCTAATAGCTGTAGAGGATAATAGTATTACAGCTGGGACATCTTTTGGAGTGCTTCGGGATCTTTGTGGAAGATTTTATGTACCAAAGGAGTTGTATCTGTTTATATGCAATAAAATACTAATGATGTGTAAGTGTGTTCTTGAAGTTTTTCTTTGGAGCTCCTATGTAGTCTGGAGAAAAGCCATCTTCCTGTTTTGCTTCGCTGAAAAAGCGCTTGTTCGGAGCGCTGAGAAACTTGCTGCTCCACGTGGCCCTTGCGTTTCGGCCCTACGGCTGGTAGCGCGGTCCGGGAGCCG